ATTAACTTAATATATAAAAAAATATGACATCTTCTGGAATATATATATGTTATGAAAAACATAATGAAATGATAATGGATATATATTATATATAACATAAGTTTTAAAATAATTTTAATTAATGTAATTATGTTTTTAATTTTAGATCTCTAGATTAACGGCTCAGCAGTTATCTGATATGGGTATCACATTAGTTGGACATCAGAAAAAGATCTTACATCAAGCTAGACAGTTGGACACCATAATTTAACGACTTCATTACATATATATTTAATTATTCCTTTGATATGTAAATATTATGCACGTGTGAAAATTTAAAAATGATCATTATAATTATTTAAGGGAATATAGAAAGATAAGGGGTAGATTGTTAGAGAAAATTTAACACATTTTAATTGCAATTAAAATTTATTATACACAGAAAGGCTATTTTTTCTTTGAAATTGATAAAACGTTTTATTGAAGCAATATTATCATACCGTTACAACTACTGAATAGTCTTTTCCTGGTAATTTAAGTTTTAAGTTTGTAAGGTAAAAGGGCATACATTTTTAAAAGAATGTACTTTTTATATTTAATTATATGTGTAACTTAAAATATACATTAAATTTTTACTTTTTATTATAAAAATAAGTGTGTAAATATATGATCATACTTTCTATAAAAGCTTAAACTTAATAAAAATGTTAGTTTTATTAGGAGTATATGTAAAGTTTAAATTAATATCTTATTTTCACCAAACCAATATTCATATCTTTTTATTTCACATTATGGAGTGTTACTGCGAATGAACACCCAAATAAAGTATAATTAGCATAAATACACAATTTAATAGTTCATATATTCAAAGAGAAGTCAGTTATACAGAAGTTATTCTGATATCTAAATGACATGTAGAGTTTAAAAGTGATTATGCTGGTAGTTTCGAAATAATTATATTTTGTTTAGTTTGAATTTAATTAACAGTCGTGTCAGTATTATTACACATGTGTACATATGTGAAGGGTATATAGATTCAAAGTATTATATAAGAAGACGAGGCTCCTTGCATCAAGAGAAACAAAAAGATTTCATATGAGAGAGATATTATATCCAATAATTCGGAGTACAGCGTTACTTATCGCTGTACTGTTTTTACGCAGTAGAATTATTTGGGGAACTACTTTTTGCTTTTGTTTCTAATTAAAACGCACAAGATTTATGCAATGAATATCTCACAATTTGGAGAATGGTGGGTGATGAGCTGAAAATTATTTGGCTAGAATTTCTTGTGAGATAATAATACTACAAAAACTAAAAACGTAAAATTTTGAAATAGAAATAAAATTTTTTGAAAAAGAATATCCGGTATCCAAACATATCCGGTAACAAATTTAATTATTTATCTTATAGTTTTTCGGATAAGATATTTTGAGATACTAAGATCTATCCATATTGAGTATGACATCTCTCTCGCATGGAATTTTTTTTTTTTTTGATTTCCAAACTATGGAATGCCTTTATTCTATGTAGCTTTGAAAGGAAATTCCTTACATATATACTATATACATATATATATTTATATATATAGACATGTGTAAGTGTATATATGTTTATTGATTACAGTTTTATCTACCCCTACTAATGGCTTTGTAATTTATCATTAGAAAATCAAACATATGCTAATAAAGTTGTTTGGAAACAATTAAATAAGCTTTTACTATTGAAATTGTGGTACTGCACTTATTAAATACTTTATCTTCCCTAGCATTAAACTAATAATTATGTCGACACTATTAAATTTCAGTTGTTTTTTATTAATCAAAATTTGTTATCCATCAAAGTAATCAAAATCAAAATAATTAGTAAACATTTTTCACTCATTCTAAAACAATATACACAGAAAGTAAAACTGCAGTATCAATCAGTTTGATATCCTATAAAACACATTGATGAAAAGTTTATTGTAAAAGTGAATTTCGTATGAATAATGAGAGGCCATCAAATCAATTTCGACATTATTGCGCGAATTACTGCAATAATTCTTTTGTAATACAACTGAGCGTAAACGATAAAAGCAAAAAATTTTAAACGTAAACGTAAGACTTTGATTTTTCTTCTTGCGCCAGAAGCTTGTAAAAGAGTTTGAAAACAACAAACACATGCACGACAACAACAAATTCAAAAGGTCCAGAACAAGAAGCGAATGAATTTTAATTCGCGTAGTTTAAATTAGGTACTACAATAGTTGGTTACGTTTTTCTCTTAAAATGGCGGATCATTTTATAAACTGTAGGTCGTAAAATTCATTTATAAATTTTGCCATATATTAAATAATTAAAAAATTATAATATAATATAATAGCGTAATAAATATATAAAATATTTGTAAAAAAAACTATTTTTGATTTTACTTATACCAATTGTAAAGGCTTTGATATAAAATGATAATGTTATGATATGTTACTTATATATATACACTCTTTCTCTTCGGTTACATTATTTGAATATTTGAAATGATCTGAGTATTTAAAGAAAAAACAAAAAATTATGGCCCAATAATGAAACGCCGCATATAACTTGCTACCAATATAATAGCAATTCACACAGCATAAAAATAATGGACAATTCTAATTTGTTTTACATTTTAATAAGCGAATCAAAATAAGCTCTGTTTATGTCCAAAATACTTCAAGCAATTTTTAATGTTTGTTTTTGTAAATTCAACCGACAGTCCACACAAAATTTTTGTGCTTTTGCTTACATTCACTTGGATCAGCGGTTTTATAATAAAATAGAAAGAAGATTCTGTGGTAACTTCCCATGGGGTCACCTGCTTTTATTTGCTTAAAGAAACAGTATGTATCTTCTTCCTTGATCCTGAAAAAGCGATCTGATAGATACGACCCTTATGTTATAAGTGGTTATAATTGGTTTGGTAACCGCGTATCAATTTAAGAGAATTTACACTGAATAGTGTGCAAGTTAAAGCACTTTGTACACCACAAGGCTGATTTAATTGTCGTAAATGCATAAAAATTAATTAGATACGACGGAGTACACACAACGCAAAACAACAAAGATACAACCGATCCATGTTTATTTCGCACACCAAATATTTCGTATACAAAGGAATGCAATACAATTACTTGCTGTTAGTATCCTCTGATATAAGATTTCACCTAGTTACATTAATAGGTTCTTATGTTTCGCCCTATATTTATTTCGGCCGAAATAACCGAACACATTTTCCATAAAGTCAACTGGTTTCTTACAGGACATCAAGTATAGCCTAAACTGTTCGTGTAAAAGACGAAGCGTTAGCGTCGCATGTGTATATTTTTTATAGATTTTTTATTGCTACAATATTCTACAGGTATATATATCAAACTGATATTGCCAACTACATGATGTTCATTCAAGCTACTACAAGTATTTGCGTCTAAGTTTTATAGAACAAAAGTAATTCGAAAAGGAATTCAAATTACTAGTAATAGTGTGATTGGGTTATATTTGGCTAAAAAATCACAACTAGCTATTAATCTTAAACTCAAACACCTCGAAGTGAATAAATCGTTTGTGTATCGCACCATAAATCATTATAATAGTACAGGCAGCATCGCCAAACGCTATGGTGGCGGACGAAAAAATAACTGTAACATCACCTGAAATAGTTAGGAAAGTGAATGCTTGACTTAAACCAAATCCACGTCGAAGTGGTAATCAAATGGCTAAAGAACTATAAATATCCTAGCGAAACGTCCGATGCATATTCCAAACAGAGTTCAAGGTAAAGTTTTACAAGTTCCAAAAGGTACAAGATCTCACACCAAAGCAACAAAAAGTTGGACACAAAGGAGCAAAGGAGTTGTTACGCTTGCACAAGTCCATAAACTCGAAAATGATCATGTTTACTTAACTGAAGGCACTGTCGAAAATTTGAGGCTACGAATAGTCACCTGAAGCAACTTTTCCCATAGTTTTTATCGAGTCTGTTTTCAATGCCAATGCGACTTTTTTTTTTTTTTTTTTTT